TCCCTCATATCCATCCGTATTTGGTGATACCCCGCCCGAAGATCTAACTTGGAGAACACCATGGCACCCCCTAGCTCATCGAGTAATTCATTTATTGTGGGAATGGGAAAATGATCCTTGACAGTTATCGCGTTGAGAGCTCTGTAATCGACACAAAACCTCCAAGATCCATCCTTCTTCTTGACTAATAACACCAGCGAAGAATACAGACTGCTGCTATGTCGTATGAACCCACAATCTAACATTTCTTTAACCAATATTTCCATGATGTCCTTTTGGAAATAAGGATATCTATAGGGCCTAACGTTCACTGGAGCCATTCCGGGCTGCAGGAAAATTCGGTGATCCACAGTCCTGGTAGGAGGTAACTGTGAAGGTTCTTTGAAAACCTTCTGAAACCTTCTAATAATGCCCTTCCCCATGGCTGGTAGTAAGGCTTCCATCTGGGCGATTTCCACCACATTTGCCCCCTCTACTGGCTGTTTTCCCTGTGGCACTGCCAACACTCGGTAAAAACTGCTCACAGCTCCCCCGCTGATCAAAGAATTCAGCTGTGAAAAAGTTACCTGCCGTGTTTATACCTCAGTACTTCCAGATAACTTCACACTCTTCCCATTCCATTGAAATTCCATGGTTACGGCATTATGATCATGAATGCAGGGCCCTAAAGTCCTTAACCATTGCATACCCAACACTATATCCAGCCCCCAAATTGGAAGGATATATAGATCCACCGTGAATCTATTTCCCTATAATTCCAATTCCACACCCACGCATTTCCTGTCACAAACCAGAGATTGCTCATTCCCCATGTAAACCTTGAAACGCTTAGCCAATTCCCAAGTAAGTCCCAGTTTATCCACCAATGCTTCTTGAATGAAATTGTTGTTACTACCCGTATTAATCAACACTTCCAATGTTTCTGTCTCTAATTTCGCAGAAATTCAAAAAATATGGGGATTCACAGAATTTGAAAAAGTGTTGAGGCTTACTTCAATTTCTTCTTCACGCTCTGACTCTTCTGATCCTGCGCCTGGGTATTCATTGGAATTACCATCACCTCCCTCTCCACACATGAGTAATACCCTATTCTTACATCAATGGTTAAGGTGGTATTTCTCATTACAGCTAAAACAGAGTCCCTTCACTCGTTTCTCATGAATCTCAGCAGGTGTGAGACGCTTAATGGGCAGCTTGGTATTCCCTGTTTGGAAAGTATCACCTCGTTTTGGTTGAAGGGAGCTCGTCGGCCCTGTTTGGAAAGTATTCCCTGTTACGCCAGTTTTGACTCCAGACACCATTTCCCCAGACATTCCGCAGTTGTTCCCGTCCACAACACGGTATCCATCGCGCCTTGTCCGGCCTATCAAGTCCTCATTCCGATCTTCGAACAGCTGGGCTTTGGCCATAGCCTCAGCTAAACTCCCCAGGTGAGTTATTAACAGTTCCCTCCTAATTTCCAACTTCAACCCCCAAATAAAGAAGTTAAGAAACATTGCGTCGGATACCCCAGTGATGCGGGTCATCAGATTCTCAAACTCGGCGCAGTACTAAGATATTATTCCCGTCTGAACTAGCTTCACAATTCTTCCCAACGGATCGTCATAAATTGACGCTCCAAATCATTTTCGCAGCTCACAGAGGAAAACATCCCAACCAGTGAGAGCTCCACCTCTTTCCATCCATTGGTACCACATTGCTGGTTCCCCATCAAGATGGAAAGCCACCACCTCAAGACGGGTCGCTGGATCGATCTGGTGCATGGTGAAGAATTTGTCAATTTTGTAAATCCAATTCTCCACCTCCTTCCCATCGAACCGGGGCACATCCACCCGCAAGGTTCTCAAGATCGCATTCAGATCAGGCATTCATCCCTCTGAAACTCCACGCCCTCCAATCGTCTGGTTGGTCTCCGCCAATCCGCCTGTTTGGCCGGAAAAACCGCCGAATAAATCTCAGAATCCTTGGCCGTCTGAGAGACCTGAGCCAGACGCAACTCCATGCTTGCCATGTGTTGTTCTAAGAGAGAAGTTAATTTCTGCAACTGTCCTTCAGCATGCTCCTTGACACTTGCCTCCATAGCCCTCATGATCTCTGCAAGTTCTTCGTTTCTCATGGCGTCTCTCAATGAAAGCACCAGTGATACGAAAAATGGTAAAGATCGTATTGAAAATGCACTCTTCGAGTCAGTGTCCAACTCCTTACAATGAAGAACTCTCTTCGTGATAATCGATAATCCCCAAATTACGAATCTATTCCCCATTTATACCTCTCCCAACCCACCTAACAAATTATTTGCTGAAATAAGAAATACTAAGAAAATAAGGAATAACAGAAACGGTTACGGCCTCCGCAAATCACTCAAGGCTCACGCCATAATGAAATCCTTGAATCTGCCTGGCTTTTTGCGTGCTCTGCCCTCACGTGTGTTCTGCATCTCCACATTTGGAATCGTCTCCTTCGATGGTTCTCCTTTATTAATTTTAGTCACCAAACGACATCCCTCCTCTGTCGTTTCAGCCATCTGAAATGGCTCTTCTTGGGCCTGGAAATCAGCCCACCTGCTCAACTGGTCTTGGATCACCACTTCATCCAAAGCAGTGCCGGCCCAGCTATCAGAAAACCTTGTCTATTATTTCTTTGTTATTTATATGTTTGTTTATTGGTTATTTTTCTTAATTATTATTTGTTTTGTATGTGTGTGCAATTTTAGGAGCATTTTCAATGGAACCAGGCTTTGTATAATTTGATAATCACAATTACTTTAAAATACATAAAACGCACACATATAGTAAATCTGATGTCCTCCATTTTGTTGTCATTCCTCTTAAACTTTGACATCTCATTAAATTTTCACATCAGAAACTTAAAAACAGTAAAAATCGGAGATAACTTTTGGGTTCCTATTGATGGGTATCTTTTACCTACTCTACATTTTACCGACTTTTTTTTTTGGTGTTAATTTAACGATCCTTTTACTTTTTTGTCGCTTTTCTTTTTAACTCATCTTACTTCATTCGGGTTATCTGTTTAGTCCGTAAATAATTCAAATAACCATCACATGTAATGAAAAGTTAAAGAACCGGTAAAAAGACATCGAAAAGTCATTAAATATAGAATAATTAAAAAAAACTTATTCTAATAATTGATGATACGTAAAATTAATGAGGTATCAAAATTTAAGATATGAACAATAAAATGATAACAGATCTGGACTCGATACATAAAATATCAAGTGGGAGATAATTTAAACTATTAATCTATTACACGAATTTCATAGTGCTAATAAACACATCGTAACATCCTCTTTGGCTAGACAAATCACATTTTATCTGCATCAAATTAAGAAATTGGCGCTGGTACACAAAGAACCACTGTGGACAGGAGACAAAAAGCAAAACCACTTCTCTTCAACAATGAACTTTCCCTTTATAAAGGTCGTTAATCCAAGTTCCCAATACTATAACGTGTGGAAAGAGCTTTCAGCCCACGTAAACAGGAATTTAAAAAGCAGACCAAGAAATATATTTAAAAGCTAGTGCGCGTCTCTTTTCGGCTTTCACGTTCGAGTTTGATAGCAATTTTTAACAACCAAGTTGAGCTATATATATATATATATATATATATAATTTTTTTCAGTGCTAATTTCAGTTAAGCTAACATATATAAATAGATAGATAGCCGTGATGATTGAGACCTTCACATTACATGATTGTACTAATTATTAATATCCCGAAATGGCAGTACTAATTATTTATTTTTGCAGGAAAGGGGGTTATGATCAAAGACTCAAAAGAGAATTTATTGTGACTCAAGTAGGCAAGGAATAATATTGCCAGCAGATAGTACCAATAAATAAAAAGTCTAAAGGCAAACAACAACAACACAATAATACTAATAGCCTCCAGGCACACCTTCTTCTAGGATTGGAAAATTGGATTAGGTTTGGAGGTTTGGTCGTGCGGTTGGGCCTCTGCAGGACCGCAGACATTAGAGGCTTTGCTCATCTGAATGTCAGGCTGGGCCTGCCTAGCTAGAATTTTTTTAAAATATATATATATATAGTTTCTTTCGTTTTGTCATGATTCATTCATTTTTTTTAAGTAATTGCATTTCTATCTTAATAGTCCCAGGCTTATACCTCTAAATTTTTAGTTTTATGTTATGTCTGTATATTTTAAAAGTTAATAATTAGTTTTGATCCCGAAATTAAGGAATTTACCGTTTATAAATTATTTATAAACCTTAATCAAACTTGATCTAATGGCCATTACTAGTCAAGTATGTAATAAAGCTGATGACGTCACGACAGAAAGATAATTAAGGGAATTTGACACTTTTTTCCATGAACTTCTCAGGATAAGCAGGAGCAACCTAAAACTCCATGTCAGTTGTAAAAATTTAGACGTAGTATACACATTCATGTACATTAGTAATATTACTAGAGTTTGTATGAAGGAATTTTTTTTAAAAAAAAAATTAAAGGTATAATAACCCTGCATAAAAGCATTTCATACGAAGGTATTACTAGAGTTTGTTCCAATAAAAGCATTTCATATCACGAGGTATATTTCGTTTCCAAATTTAACACCATTGATTTTATTGATTTGAAGATACCCTGCAACATTCTGTAACATTGTATTAAACTCGGAGTGTATTTACCACTTTAATCAAAATTAAAGGAAAAAAGTTCCATAAGCCTAGAATAAAAATATTTCGTGTCTGAAAAATTCTCTTCTTTTATTGATCATGTAGTGTATATATCTAAAAGAAATACTAGCGTCATTTTTTTTGTCAGTCTATATTTCTGTATTCGATATTTGACAAACTATCTTATTTTTTATTTAAATAAAAATATATTATTTTAGTAGAGTTAATGTGTTAATGCTGAAAGTGACAAAGAGAGTGAAACAAACAGTGATTTTAGAATTTATGTCTCTAATTACAAAACCGTATGAAAAAAGCCAAACTCACAACTTTTTTTTTAATTGCTATTTCGGTTAGAAAACAATCTCACCAAACTTTATTACGCATAGAAAATTTGAAGCATCCCGTTTTGTCCATGCCTCAAAATCATCACATGGAAAAGAAGAAGCCGACAGCGACGGACAACAAGGTGAACAAGAAAGCAGCAAAAACAGCAGGCGAAGACGAGCCCGAAGGCTCTGAGCTGTGGGCCCTCCTGCAGTCGGCGAGGCACCGGCAGGGCCGGAGGCGGAGACGTTGATGGCCAACTTCTGGCCGCCCTGACAGTGAGTGCCGACGGAGCAAATGAAGTAGAGGTCGCCGGCAGTGGAGAGGGTGACGTTGGCTGGGCCCTTGGTTATGGGGTCGCCTATGGCTCTATCTTTGTTAAAACTGTCATATGAAGCTTTTGGTACTTGGACGACATCGTGAGCGTTTGTTACGAAGTTGAATGCTGAACACAAGGAAATAACATGTCGTATGAAAATGTACATTGGATAGAGGTGGAGGTTCTAATATGTCGTATTTGATACAACTAGTCTAATGAACTTTGAAAGAAAATGACACAAATAAAGTATATATAGTAAGAAATTAACTCAACTTTTTTAGTTTTCAAAAGAGAATGACCCATCTTCCAGCTTGTTTATATACTGAAAAATACACACATACATGATGTCTGTTGTAGTAGGGGTGCAATAAACCATTCAAACCATTTGTTTGTACCTGAAGTCGTACTAGGCCCATTAAAGGTCTAGGCCCAAGTTTTTGCGTCTCACGACGTAATTGAACTCGTTTCGTGAACCCAAGCTACGCTCAAGGAACTCTCGTAAGTTGTTGTTTGGTGGACCATGAGTGATCACATAGACCCATTTGTCCCTAATTTGAACCCGCTTGGGGGGTTTTTTTTCAGAATTACTCAAATTAAGCATGAATGGGTGATAGAAGATTCAACATAAAAAAGACTTATCCTTGTCTTTAGAAGCCCAAAATTCTATATTTCAGCCATTGAAAGGCCCAAAACCCAAGCTTGATCCTTTAGAAATTTCCTCCAACTCAAAGGCTTGAGAAATCTATTAGTTTTGGCTAATTCGGAGGCTTTTCTCTCAATCGGACATGCCTCTCAGAGCACTTTCCGTGTCAGGCATGCTTCCCAGCCTTTCTCTGTATCAAGTTGTCCGTTCGAAGCACTTGTGAGCATTCGGAGCTACCTGGCGTTAGAGCAGTCTGTTGTTAGAGCAAGTACAATGGATGCTTAGTCATTCTCGTACAAATAATCTCTGACAAAGGTCTGACACGCAATCAGACCCCCAAAGAGGAAAGTCTTCGGAACATTTGGTTGAGTCAAACACTCTTGGAGATTTTAGGTCTGAAGTCACTTCATGTCAGCCCAAAATCCAAGACTTGGCCTTCAAGTATTTCCACTTCTAAGGTGTCATTTGCCTCCTCTGACATGGTAGCTAGGATTTTACTGCAAACAAAGTGACTTGTGCCTCACTTCATCAAAATGTCGCCGGAGTAAATTTCTAGAAACTTTTCATCCCATTTTCGGTGAATCTCTTTGTCAAACTTAGGAAGCTATCTGACACCTTTCCTCCGAATGGGAATGCTCTGATAGCCCGTTGTCATTTCTTTCATTCTAGATTCTTCCATTCCATTTCCGGACCATCTCTTTGTCAAACCAAGAAAGGCCTCTAATAGCCTTCCTCCAAATGAAAATGAGTGTTCAGACCTCCTTCAAAGCAGCTGTCAAGCACTCCCATATCCTCTTATAAATACCCCCTCACCTTCTTCATTTCAACACCAATACACCTACACACCAAATCAACACATCAGATCTCACTATTAGTCTCTTGGGTACTGAAACTTATGAGAATTCGCTCTAAAATTTTCTCTATGAGTGTTTTCTTCAAGTCTTTTGCTACAAAGACTTGAAGCCTTCTTCAAGTTTTTTAAGGAACTTCATAGTTTTTAAGTGTTGACCTCCTTAGAAACTCCTCAAGAATACTTTTCAATCCTCTTCCACCCCCATCTGAAAGTGTTTTGAGAGTTGTTTTCAAAAGTATTCGAACCTCTAACCTCGGAGTCACTCTAATCCACCGTTGGAGGGAGAGCTCCAAACGGTCTCCACGCTCTTGGAACAACCTGCATCAGACTCCTCCATATCACTTCTCTCCATCATCGCCTTATCCACCAGCAAAGCTACATACTCAAAGCCTTTAAAGCAACCCGAAAACTTCCTTTGGAGCCCTTCTCCATCAAAAGCCTTATCTACCTCTCGAATCATTCCTCCATCAACTACGTGATCACTCCTCCCACCATTCTTCATTCGTGAAGTTCTTCATTATTTTTTTTTTTGGATTTTCTAACATTTTTTGCAATAGTACTTTCATGATTTTGACAACAAAAAGGGTCCTAGAACTCATGTTCTTCAGCCTAATTTGGGCCTAAGTGAATACCACCACCGTCGGAGGTCCTACCATCATCATCTACTTTGAAGGCCCGTTAAGTGTTTTGGCCACATTAGAACCGCCACCAACGAGTCAAATACTTACATGTGCACGCCCTTGCCACGTTGTACCCTCCGGATATACCGGACCCCGATACCATTCAAACTAACTAAACCAAAACAAACCAATTAATAATAGATTTAAACCATTTAATTTAGTTTAAATGTTTAAAAAATTAATTAAATTGGTTTGGTTTACAAGTAAATGATCATAACCAATTGAACTAAACAAACTTCTATTAATATATATTTCCTTAAAATATATATATTTCATATATTTGTAACTTATTTATATTAAAAAAATGTATTTATTCCATAATTAAATGATCACAACTTCTGTCATCACCTATATATACGGTATCAACACTATCTCTGCACTCTTCCCTAAATCTCTTTCTGCAGACCATAACATATTAGGATGTTTAATTTTTAACTTTAGATGTTTTATTTATATTTGAATTATATATTTTATTATTGAGTTATTGATATCTACAGTCAAGAAATAATTGAATGTCTATCATACAAAATATTAATATCAATTATAGTTAAGATTTGAGAAGAAGTTGTAAAATATTAGTTCAAACCAAACCAAATCAATTATAATGGGTTTGGTTTGAATTGGATTAGATCCTTTAATTGGTTTGATTCAGTTTAAAAATCTCTAAACCAATTTGTAATTGATCTGGTTTGTATTTCATTCAAAATAAATGGTTTGGTTTGGTTGCACACCCTTAGTCTGAAGAGGACTTTATATTCTAGTTAATTAATCTAGTGTATATAATTATTTGTTGATTGTGATACAGGCATTAATATTTCATAAATCCCAATTTATATATGTATTGTAGATGATGTAACAAATATGGGGTCTATATATTAAATTTGTTTTTTAAAATGTCTATTTATATTCAAGTTAAATGAAAAAATATATATATATATATATATGTAGATACATATATAAGGGTTTTATGTCTTTCTTATTTGCATGCAGCAGGGAAATATGTTTCCATTTTCAAAATGAAACGAAAAAAAAAATATTTAACAAAAAAAAAAAAAAAGGTAACATGAGGGACAAGAAATCAGAAACATATATCTCATTTAAACTTCGTTCACTTTGCCGATTCGAGTTTTTAATTCGAGCTAAAACGTGACTTTATGTGAGAGCTTTTAATTGTAAACAAAAAGTTAAATATGACTTTTTATAAGAACTTTTAACTGTAATAAATTTAGAATTAAAAACTCAAATTTGTGAAATTAATGAGGCCTTAAAATATCACCAATGACGAATTTCGGAGTAGAAGCCTTAGTAGAATATACATATGCAGAAGCGCCACCGGGTGGGATGGTCCAAGCCGTGCCACCTCCCACCACGTGCACTGTCTGTGCAGACATGCATTGCATAAACTGTGATATTATACCACAAATGGCCACTACTGCATTACTCATTGACAATCTTTCCATCTTTCTCTCTTATACATTTCTAGACTTTTTTAAACCTTATATTTTATGTGAATATTATTTGTAGAGGTCGGATTCTATAATTAAATTTATTAAAGGGTCAATGGCTGCTCCTGGATAGCAATCGCATTGGTGAGTCGATTCAGGTTTATTTAAGTCGATATAGTGCTAAAATGAGAACGTAAAGTGTTGAAAAATAAACGAACACACAAATTTATAGCGGTTTCTCTAATAATGAAAGGTACGTTCACTGTAGGGTTCTGGGAGTTTCACTATCTCTTATAAAAAGTACAATTACAATGAAAAATGTGAAGAGGATAAAAAGGAGAAGGAAATTTAGAGAGAGAGTCTCTGCGTATTATGAAAGTTTCAAGATATCATAATTCGTGACTTCCATCCCTTATTTATAGGAGAAAGTCTTCTTCTTTCCTTTTCTCTTAGATTTGATAGCTTCCCTTTTCTTAAGTTGACTTTCCCTTTCTTTCTTTCCATATTTGCTCTCTAGTATCTTTTGTCTTCTATATTGATCAGATTTGTGCCTTTAATGTACGATTTAAATGAGATAATCTTCGTGGCCTCCAAAGAATCTTCATTCCTTTAATATTGGCGGTGGTTCTTACATTCCTTCTGTCATCAGTCTTCTCGAGTCGTCTCAAGTCGATCTGGTCTCTAATTGATTTCAATATTTTTGAGTTGACATTTTCTTCAAATATTGTCCGCATTATGGTGATGATCGTGGTGCTGATTTTGACCCTAACATTGTCTATATGCAAGAGAAATAACGATCGATGAAGAAATTATAAGGGAAAAGCTATAAATGTGAGGCACAAGTGAAGTGTAAAAAGGAAAACTACTTTGGTTTGGGTTTGGGTCGTCTAAGACACGGTGTTGACGTGGAATTAATTTGGCTGTGAGGACTTGACCAGGCACCGATTGACAAGTTAAAGCGTGGACGCCGGACATCCCGCTAGAACACTGTGCATGCAATGCAAGTGGAATCCATTATTGGTCATTTGGTTAGAAAGCCGTGTCTGCTTAAGACGAGCATTACTCTATATGTGTGTGTGTGTGTGTGTGTGTGTGTGTATATATATATATATATATATATATCCAGCTTAGTTTGGCCTTTTAATTCAAATTAAGAAGTTTGACCTTGTAGTGCTATACAGAAATGTCAACCCTCGTTAGGTTTTGGAAATTTGAGGGAAAGGGAAAGAACAAAAGTAAAACTGAGTGAATTATGTTTCATAATTTGTAAAGAATAAATAATTTTTAAAAGATCTTCCATGGTGAATTTTTTTATTTTTTATTTTTATTTTTTTTGCTAGCATCTGTGGTGATTTGTGATTGTAGTTTCAAACTTTAACCGCTGTCTCCCTCACACTCTCTCTCTCTTTGGTAGAATAAAGGCAATACGAATGTAACAGTACTTTTATTCCTCTTATAGAGCACAATGATTTTATATGAACATTCTGGCGTTCAATAATTGCATATAACGTTTGTTCCTTTTGTCATTAATGGATTTTTTTTTTTTTTTTTTTTTTTTGGTGGAGGATTCTTGTCAATGGATTATCGCGTACCTAATACTAAAATTTGAAGGACTTTTTTCTGCCCCCTAGCACTCGTTTCTTGTGGGGCAAGCATACGTTTGTCAAATACCTAACCATGGACAATCAGTGCGTTATAAATGACTTTACGTCATTTCTTTAAAATGGTACTATAAAGCTTATTTAGTTATTCAATCAAACTTCTAATAAGCCCTCTTTTTCTGTGTGCCTAAGTATTTATTTGTCATTTGTCACGTACGTCAAATTTATACACGGGCTTTTTTTATTTTAAAGTAAAAAAGAAACTTGAAACCCAAAAGGAACGTAACATAGAAAGGAAGATACTTTTTAATGATCAGATAAAACCCTAATGATCATGAACGAACTAAATGAAAAAACAACATTGTATATTTAATTTGCTGAAATATCAGAAAAGCATCAGCAACTTTCTGTTATCCCACTAACGTTTTGAAGAATGACTGTCAACACTGTTAATTAAAGAATGAATCAACTAATGTACACAATTTGGCTTTACATTGATCATCCTTAATCTTAAGAGCCTCTTCTTTGAACGGTTAGATTTAGAATTAATAGGCGCATTTGTGGGAGTGAAAGCCTGCGACCTTCTGAATTATACTCAATTATAGTGTTAAAATTAGAAGCATAACCGCAACACAACTTGCAAACGCCCACGAATATGAGGATCGAAGCCAACCTTGAAAACCCAGATCCTGCAAAAGAGCAAGATATAAATACAAAAGAAGTAACATAAGATCAAATCCATATATATGTTAACAAAATATCTAAATAGGTCATATAATGTTCGTTTACATTCTACTAGTGGGGCATATAAATCTCGTTTATGTTCTATTTATGCTATAGATGAAAGGTTACGAAATGACACTAATAAATTTTTTTATTAAAAAACATTTTTTTTTCAAATTATTTAATAGACTCAGATTTTACCTATAATTTTGATGTCTCAAATTATGTTAATCGCATTATGTCGTTTCATTTAAGAAATTTTAAAATATCATCTGATCAATTATACAGTTTGTATTCTGTGTCTATTAAAAGTTAACTAAGATATTATATATGATTAGTTAGATACTATTTATTTAAGAGACTGAAAAATAAACGAATGAAACTCATACCTTGAAAGAGAGAAGAGACGAGGGCGCGGAAGAAGGAACGAGGCCAGTGAATCCGATATCATAAGATATACTCCCATCAGGCTTAAACAGCCCAAAGTTCCTCTCGGAAGTAGGCCCAGGCTTCAGATTCTCATTGAACAGAGCAAAAATATAAGCCCTAACCTTTGTCTTGGGCCTATAAGGCGTGCCTTTCTTCTTGGCCAACTTCTTCTTCAAGTTGAAGTTATAAGTTCTGGCGTTCTTGAGATTAGCCCCAGCCTCATTATCATCCCCACGAGAGGCCCAGCCCGTCTCAGAGACAATGACCTCCATTTTCCCAAAGCCAACCTTGTCAAGAGCCGCGTAAGCCGCGTCAACCTGAGCGTCAAACATGTTGTCGTAATGCAAGTTGGTTTTGGCATCAAAAACCCCGGCATTCTTCTTGAAAAGAGCATAGTTTATGTCGATGTGCTCGGGGTCACTTTTGTATGCCAAAAATGGGTAAGCGTTGATGTAAAAAGGTGACCCAATTTGCCAAAAGAACTGCAAGAGAGGCTTCATGAATTCGACCACGTCTTCCCTAAACATGGGATGAGTTAGACATAGAGATCCATGTATATATATATATATATATCTACAAATTGTAAATATATGTACATAAATTAACATAACTGATCAAGGGTACATTCAGAATAACATTTATCTTAATAACCAAAAAATAGACAAATTAGAGACATGTCCTAAATAATGAGCTTAAAAGTAATTATTTAGTGCGATTATTTCTTAAACATGGAAATAAGGTTTAAAATATTATACAAATAATAAAAATTAAGATGATGATATAATTACTACTAAAATAGTGACTAAATATATAATCTTGCTATTCTTAAAATATTTCAAAAACAAAAAAAACAAAAGATCATTTATTTCAATTTTGTTCTAGTAAACACGCCATACAGTGTAATTGTTACCTAAACACGCATGCAGAGGGCGGGAAGGAGGAGGCGAAAACGGCCTCAGAATGAGGGCTCGAGACCTCGATGGACTTGGTTAGGCCTAGTCGTTGTAAAGCGCTGTGGACGTTCTTCACCGAAGGGAGGAGGACTTCCCAGAGCTCTCTGTTGTTTCCTCCGAGGATCTCGTTCCCCACCGCGATTCCCCGAATCTTGGTTCCAGGTAAGAAGGGCTGGACGTTCTCTTTGATCCAGTTCATGGCACGGTCCTCGCCGATGCTGATTTCTGTTAGGAACTCGTTGCCGAGGCCGACGATGATCTCGATGCCCGAGCCTTTCAAGGCGGTGAGGACTTCTTGGTTCGCGTCGTAGATTCTGACGTTCTTGATCTTTGCCGCTTTGAGGAGTGTCACCACGCTCTGTGGTGAAGGTAGATTGTCTGCGATTCTACCGTAGTTTACGCCATATGTTCCCGTGAATGCGTTTGCGTCTGATCATACATGGATAATTAATTGTAGAGACTAATATACTACAAATGTAATGATGATACAATAATGCTCATAAACTTTTTAATTAAAAAACGTTATGCGACGTCAATGACGACAAGGTGATATGGCATGAGGTGAAACTTGAGTTTAGTGCAGGTTCGATCTCGCGTCATATTATTCAAACGTAACTATATAATAAAATCTATTGTATTTATGATACTTATCAGGGCTTAATAATTGGTAAATATTATGAAAAAGTTAATACACTAAGTGAAGGGTCATGACAATATACATAAGAAAAAATAGAAAATTTATTCATGCACTTTTAAAGAGTATTTGTCAAGATTACTTTATCATGTTATATTACAATAGAAATGCATCTATCAACTATCTATAATAACTTATGACAAAAATTCCACAATTGAATTGCAAGAGTGGAAATTACTGTGACTATTAAGAGATGAGTGAGAATTGGACTTACCATTGACGAAGAAGACAGAGAAGACGAGGAGCCAGAGGAAGAAAGAAGAGAATGTCATTTGTTTGGAGGGAAAATTAATGAAAGAGCGTTCCATTTGTAGAAAGGAGGTGAATATAATATGGCCCAAACGTTATTTGTAAATGATCAGAAATCGTGATATGACGTACGTGAATTGCCAAAACACCCCTATAGACTGTCTTTTCAATGATGCGATACTTTTCCTTCAGGCATGTCAAATGGCCCAGATTCTTGGCCTTGGTTGGTCCAAAGATGATATAATAGAGAACGTTTCGAGAAGATTCTTGGCCTAAATCAAAGAATGAGAAATTCTAATGCGGCTTAGAATATATTCTTCCTTTACTCTTGCTTTTATCTCTCTTCCAAAGCATACCTTTTTGAATTAACTTTCTTTTCTTGTATCCGCCTGATACCCACACGCTTTCTTTCCCATATGCATGAGGTTTTTGAGCGTATATAAATTGCAAGTATTGTATTGTATGCCTTTCGTTGGAAATTAAGGTAGCTTTTGGTTGCAGGGTTCTAGAATCAAAATCATGATTTTGGTTTGAACCTTTATTTGTTTGTGAAAAAATAAAAAATAGTTTTGATTTAAGGTTGAAAAATGAGTTTTTGTTTTGAATGATTCTGATTATATTTGGGAAAAATACATCTTTACACCCACACAGCAGAAAAATAAATTGAAACAGAAAAGACAAAGATTTAGGTGGTTCAGAAAAAGAACTCTTCTAGGATTCTTGTTTTATTTTTTCTTCTAGATGATTCGTCAGTTCTTTACAGTTTCTCCTGATATGTTCCTTCTTATAACAATAATAGCACTCAATATCATTCTTTAGATGGGATTGGGAATGATCATCTCTCTTATCATAACATCTCACTCGTGACTTGCTCCTACCCCTATTTAAATCTGACTTCGCCACTAAAACTTGTTCAGTATGAGACGTACTACTAGGCTTCTTCATATTTGCAATCTTTAATAGAGCAGTCGACATCTCATCCACAGTTAACGTCGTCTTTCCAACTAAAAGTGTAGTCACCAAAGTCTCATATGATTTGGATAGAGAGGCCAACAAAATTACTGTTTTATCTTCCTCATCAATTTTGACCTCTACACTTAACAATTGAATTATGCACTTATTAAAATTATTTATATGGTCCCTAACATCAGTTTTTTCATCCATCTTCAACTCAGACAATTGTTTCTTCAAATATAGTCTATTTGCTAGGGATTTCAACATATAAACTTTTTCTAATGTTTTCCATAACTGAGAAGGAGATGTTTGATTCATAACACTATATTTCAGTTTAAAGGCCAAACTTAAACGAATAGTGCTTACCATCTGGCTTCTTTTCTTTGCAGCGCTTTCTGTAATCCTTGCTAAATCAGAACATCTTTCACCGTACTCTGTCAGATGCTGAAATTACTTTTTCTGTCAAAATGCTTAATCTGCTCAAACTTTATCCCGGACATCATCTTGACCCTTTTTTTATCTTCACCACAGCTCTGATACTAGTTGTTGACGAAAAACACACCCATATACCCACGCAACAGAAAAATAAACTGAAACAAAAATAACAGCAAAACAAAGAAGACAAAGATTTGGGTGGTTCAGAAAAATTTCCTACGTCCACAAAAGAAGGAGAAAAATTTACTAACAGTTTTTGAATTACATACTCATAAAACTTTCTCACTTTCTCTCTCTGTCTCTCTATCCAAAACCCTTTACACCATTTGCTTATCTCTCTCCTCACTTTTATCTCTCTCTCAAAAGGAAGCACTCTTTCTCTACACTTTTCTCTGAGCACACTTTTCTATGAGAACACATAAAGCGTTACACAAAACACTTATTTATAGGCTTCTAATAAACCATAAAATAACATTTGCTCAAAAACTGAAAATAGTAACTTACCTAAAAACACAAAATTGTTATCCCAAAACTAATTTTAGTTACTTACCTAACAGGTTCAAGGTTTGAACTTTGATGTAATGTTTTTAACCAGAATCACCATCGATTTTAAAACTACTTCCCTCTTGATTTTAAGTGGTTCAAACTCCTGATTCTGGTTCTAATTCTAGAACCATGATTAGACCTAAAACTATGAATTATGGTTTTAATTCTAAAATTAAAACTAAAATCACTCTGTTTTGAACCCTCACATTAAACTGAGCCTAAGCGTGTTTGAAATGGGTGGTGCAAGCCTTAAAAGAAAAGCCTTTTTTTTTTTTTTTTTTTTGCTCTGAAAAGAAAAGCCATTTAAAACGTCCTGTTAAAAGATAACTAGGAATACCCAAAATGTAATGCATGTTTTTTAATATTAAATATATCAAAAATCACGTTAAAATAAAAATGTATAAAAAAAACACAGAAAACAATACGTATTGCACATATAAGACTTTTTTTCATACCCTAATGTAAAATTCTGAAAAGAAGTACTCTTGAAAAGTTGCGCCTCTTACCTCTAAATTATAAATTGAATTTTTCTTGTTAGCGTTCTCTTTTAACTATCCTTACGGTAATCACGAGGCCCTTGAAATTAGAATTCTGGGTACTAAAAGAAGAAATTTGTTGGCTATCTTGCAAGTTATTAGCTATTGGTGCAAAATTGCAAATCTACCAGACGCTTTTTTGTAACACGTTCCTGTTTCCAAGTTGTTTCAACGCTTATATACCGCAGTTATGCAGATTATGCTCGTTTATAACTAATTTACATGGCCTAATATATATACATATATATATGTATATAAATATATGTCTATATATATATATATATCCTCTAACATAGCAGAATCTGTCTTATGTTCAATCGTCATTTAAGCAACAGCACCAGATGTCCCTCTCCGGCCGGTAACACAGCAGGAAGAAAAAAAAAGAAAAAAGAAAAGGCCCAACACGCGTATAAGAGTTTAAATATCGCTAACATCAACAATGTAACAACATAAAAATACAAACATTGCAGAAGCTAAAAACCTAACTCTACAACATGGTAAAAGACCAGAGACTGCCCAACAAAAGAAGTTTCACCGTCTACAATCATAGTTCCTGCACAACACCGAAAAATACAAAAATCTACCAGCTATTTTACTAGACGAACATACAGTTAATTACTAATTAACAGCGATAACATTAGAATTACAGTCATCCATGGAATCCTGATGCTACCCAAATTCGAAAATCACCTTCGACAGAGTCTAGAGAGAGAGAGTACAAACTAGCACATTGCATTCAGCAGCTCACAGGGGAAGGTGATGGATGAAGCGTAGCATCAGCTCGCACCACGTGCTCGACTTTTCCATTCTCAATAATTGCCTCATCCTTTTTCTCCTCGGCCTGGACATCGGGTTTCCTGTCGCTCACTTGTTTCGCCTTGCTCTCTCCCTCCGATGGAGGCTCCACTCCACAAGGAGGGTTCTCTTTCCCTGCTCCTCCATTTGCTTCCACGGTTACAGCAGTGGTCTCACCCTCTTTCTTCTCACCGGTACCGTTTGGTTTCTCTGTCTCAGTCTCGGCCAACTTTTCTTTTCCATTTTCCACTTCTTCAACTTTTTGCTTATCATCTTTCTCCTGACTCTTGGAATTGGCAGCTTCTCCTTCCGCTTGAACACCGTCGGTTACCTTAGCATCACTCTGGCCCACATCTTTCCCATCTTCTGGCTTAGCAACATTCTTTTGCTCTTGTGGATTGCCACCATTTTCAGCTGAATTTTCCTGGGAGGTATCCTTCTCTCCAGCAGCCCCTGCATCTTTCTTTTCAGCTGCCCCTGCATCTGTTTTATTCCCACCATCATTTTCTTTGGGGGCAGCATCCGCCTCTTTCTTCTCTTTCTTTGATATCGATGATCTCCGACGCTTCTTGGGGGGCTCACTCTCTAGTGGGGGTGGAGTTATCTTGGCCTTCTCGCTGATCCTCGCCGATCTTCGAGGGGTCTCACCGGTACTCCAATCAAATTCCGATATAGCAGGGTTGCCAGGGTGTGATTTCAGGTACTGCTCCAATTGTTTTCTGCCAGTAATCTCCTCCCCGCTAGGCGCAATGAATAATATCTCAGTTTTCCTTGGCGTTCCTGCCTTCTTCGGCACAAACTGTACAAAAAACAGAACAGAGGAACATATTTTAAATACTTTTGCAACAGGAATTAAACACCATAATTACTACTAGTTTAACCAATTAGCTTCGTAAACTCTTTTTGTAACAGCAGAGTGAATCCATGTAACGCTATGTAGCTATCGAGTTCAGTTTACTAATTAATTCTAGCTTCTTAAATCTACTGCCATTTAAGATTTTTTTATAAGTGAGACAATAGAAGCAGCACTATTAACTATTCATGTTTTTTACTGTGCTCTATGAGGTTTCATGTGTTTTCATCCATTTTCATATACCAATACAAATTTTATGCCAAATTGATTCTTCATATAAGGAATAGCTTACAGAATTCCATTCTATTTCCTGGTCAGAACACGATCTGACTTAAACTCACATACAAGGGTACAGAAAGTTAGGTTTCCAAGATATGAAACTAGTCCGGCATGGGCATCCTAATTTATATCAAGGATACCTTGTAAACTTATTTCCTCTTTAATATAGAAACTCCTAATTTATATCAAGGATACCAGGTAAACTTATTTCCTCTTTAATATAGAAACTGGAACTCATATTGCCTCCTCTATAGTAATTAATTCATGTAAGTTTTCTGTCATTTCAACGCCCATTGACAGGATCATAGGTATGAACTACGATGCATGAGAGTGTGAAACGTACTAAAATTACTATGCATAGGATTTCCTCTGCCTCAAGGACCATCTAGGCGATTTTATATCGCTAAACAATTGGTGTCATGATGTATTCCTATTTTCTTCAATCTGAAAATTTCCTTCTAATCCTGTCGCATACTAGGCCATTCTATAAGAAATCTAGACTAAAAATTCCATAATTTCTATTAATAACGTAGACTAAAATTTTCCCCATCTTAGAATGTTCTTCTGTTGGGTATCTACTCTTGTTATTAATCCACACTTAAATTTTTTCGTTTTCAACTACTTTATCAACTGTCAAAAAACAAAATTTTTATCTTTAAGACAAAAACAGAAACAGCAAGCTGCAAGCTTCCGGAACAGTACAAAGACAAATGACACCTAATATATATAAACCTTGTCTACAAGATCTCTGAAACAAAAACATAACGAAATAGCCTTACACAAAAACAATAATTTCGTCCTACCAAAGTATGTAATTTTGTGAAAAAATTTTCACAAAACACAATTTAGTAGCAGAGCAATATGCTAATGCACGTATTTCCAGGAAAAATCTCTTCACCAAAGTTTTCTTGCCTTGTAAACAAAGGTTGCGACAAAGTTTCAAACTTGCTCCAAATAACCAAAATATAAGCCTGGCCCTTATTTCTTTAGTAACCCTAAACCAAAAAATTTCCTATCTTGGCAGCTGACACCAAATTTCAGAAACCCTAACTTTGGAAAGTAATAATTACTATCCAAAATTCTACCACATACTGCTAATTGCTACACCAGAAAACTTTAAAAATTAAACAAAACCAGAAGCCAAAAAGGCCAAATAAAAAATATTAAAACAAACATAAAAATGGAAACTTTAAAATTCTCCAAGCAAACGTGAAGCCACATGAGAAGAAATTTACAAAGATTTTTGGTGCACCATAACAGAAAAACCTATAATTCTTAGAGAAGTTCGCTATAAGAGAGAGAAAGAGAGAGAGAGATAGAGAGAGAAACCAGTTTTTTCCAAGCAGGAGGCGCTGGGAGCTCCACAGAGACAACCTCATCCACTTTGCCGTCCATGTTTTTTTTTTTCTTTCTGACCTACAAAAATTATCACAACAAAGCTAAAGAACCAAATGAAAATTGTAATTAGCCAAAGTCTAAAACTTTACCAAACAAAACCTTCTTCTTCTTCTTCTTCCTCTTTCTCTCTCTAGAAAGGGCTTGTTCTTGTACCTGTTCTGTATTTGTGGTAAGAATAGGTGTTAGAAACCGTTGAGAGAGTGCTCTTTCTCTCTCTCTTTTTCTTTTTTTTTCTTTTTTTCTCACATGTATCTCAAACCGTCACAATATCCAGTTGGGATGATACAGTTACCCGTAGAGGCACGGAAAGTTTAGTTTAAGATAAATTAAATCGAGTAAGAGAAATCTTACTAATTATTATTTCTAATTTGTTTAAGTACGTTTTTGTTTAAAAATTACGGCTCTCCAATGTGATGTATATATTTGTCAGCTCTCAAAAGCTGATTTTTTGCCTCGCAAATATTTCTTCGTATTAGTACTTCTTTTTTTATTTCATGGCTTAATGTGTACTTGTCGTTTAAACAGACACGTGTAATGTGTTTGGATTTTTTTTTTTTTTGGGCTGAAAGCGTAATGTCCTTGGTTCGATATTTATAGGCTTTGCCGTTTATAACCCAACCACCAAAAAAAAGTGTACGGACGGAAATCTTCCCAAAGCCGTTAGCGCGTGTATTAAGTTACTTTACATGATAAATATCTTAGAAAAATTTTCCCAAAATATAAAGTACAATGTCTCGTTTTTTAAAATTGTTAATAAATAATACGTGTCAGGTTTTCTACAAACAAAAAATATATGTCAGATAAGTTGTTTTATTAACATACATATTCATATATTCTCTTAAATTAATAATCACATTTTATATGTTAATTTTTACTGGGATGAATTCTGTTCAACAATTATTTGTAATCATAATAATTTTTTATTTAGGAGGCCCACCAATTTTCTTGGCTTAATTATACACGCGCTTCCGAGAGCGTGGAGTATGCATCTTGAGACGACGCTCCGTAGGGCTACAGGAGGGCCACCTGTCACATGTACGTGAAAAGGTTTAGGATAACGTTTTTTCTTTTTCTTTATTTCCCTTTTATTTAAAAAGGGAAAAATATAATAGTTTTTTCTTGTTATTAACCGAATTGGAACGTGGGTTTGGGGTCCGAATTTGACGACCATTTTATAGGGTGAGAACGGTGAAGATGACGCCACGTATGACGTCATGTGCAGTACAGTTCGGCCCTCCCATTCCCAACTCTTAGCAACATGAACTCTCTAATCTGTTCATTTCCCTCACTGGTTTTCAACTTTATGAGTTAGTTTGGGAAAAAAAAAATCTTATGAGTTAGTAAAGATTATGGTTACCTTCATTTTATTATTTTTAATTTTTAATTTTAATTTTGTTATAATTAAAAAATTTTATAAAAAGTCTTTTTTTTTACTACAGTACAAAATTTTTATATAAAATTATATCTTAATTTAATTAAAATTTTAAATTTATAAATTAAACGAGACCTAAAAAATATCATTCTCAAAAGAAAAAAAAAACTAAAGAATGTCTACCGTGGGGAAAAAATCTGCGTCTAAATTTATTAGAATTCCACCGGAGGTATGAAAAGATCTAATATGACATACATTTAAATAAAAAAATTGAAATTTACTGGTGGTGCTCTGTTTTCACCTATAAATTTGTTATAACATAACATAACAGTCCTCAGCACTCACCGCTAGTTTCACATAGTCTAGTATCGCCGTCTTGTGACCTAGCAGAGCATTCGAGGGGTTTTTGCTTTTGTTTTTTTTTTTTTTTTCGCTTAAAAAAAGACCCCAAATTTTCTTATTATTATATATTTTAATGTGTTAGGTGTGGCTATGGTAGATGGGGACAAACATTTTTATTTTTTTCTTGGAAGTGGGGACATGCATAATTGTGCCAATGTGTAACTTATAGATATACCTTGAATCGGTTAAACCATCAACTATGAAGTTCCAAACTATAGGGGAAAACTATGAGGTTGACTTTTGTTTCAACAAGAAAATCAAGAGGTTTCTTTTTTTTTTTTTCTATTTTACAACTCTGATTCTATTAATAAGAAATGAAACAACTGTTAGAGTAAATAATAATAATAATAATAATAATAATAATAATAATAATAACAATAAACCTGACCTTTAATGATGTATATATTGCGTAACTATAAAAATCTATGAATCTTAAATTTGATACATGACTGGTGTATTCAAAGAAAAAATTTCTTCCTTTTGGCCAAAACAACTATTCGAGTTTAATATATAATTGTTACCAATATGGATGGACTGAAAATGTTTCGAACACACTTTCTCTTTTGAAAAAAAAAAAAAAGAAAAGAAAAATAAAGAAACAACCCTTTCTTTTGTATTGCTCTGTGGCTTGCAGTTGCAGGCTTGCATGAGTTAGGGTCATGTATTTGTGAGAGGAAGACTTACAATTTACATGTGGGACAGGTTGGGTCGGTTTGAATTGGTTTGACTTTTTTTTTTTTTTTTTTGAATTTAAAAGGGGGGGTTTTGAACTCATCACCTTATAGTGAAGTCATTTGTAGAATTATTTCTAGATTATACTTACAACTATTTGGGTCGATTATTTGCTATGTGTCAAATTTCAGCTTTTATTAATAGCGACCAACAATAATTTTTTAGATTAATAATTTGTTGGACGTGGATATTAAGATTGTTATTTTTTTAATGTGTAGGTCATAAATTTCCAAGCGATAGTTCTCTTTTTAGTTTATTTATCATTCTCTCATAGTTTAGTAAAATTAAACTACGTGACCAATTTTATTTATTAAGAAAACAAAACTATAAACATAAATACTACATTTTCTTTAGCTATTTTCGTCTAAGATTAGCCATTGTACAGTTTTTCCGTAATTGTAGTAGTTCCCAATAAGTTTTACAAAATTTAATCGATAAACAAATTTGTATATGCCTCAATTGTATATTATTCAAGCACAAAAATATTTTAGGAGCATTTGATAGAAATTTATGAGAATAAATAAAATGAATAAAGTAGACAAAGGGGGAGTAAACAAATTATAGTTAGACTCGAAAAAAAAAAAAAACGAAAGATATAATTTAGATGTAAAATCCAACATGCATTGTTTTGAAAGAAATTTTATAGGAAAAAATTCCTAAACGTCCATTGTACAAAGCGATCCCTTGACTGGTATTTTTTTTTTTTTTAAACAAAGAGGCCATTCTTATGTTTTTTGCTGAATAGATTCTTATGTTAATATATCGTGTATGGTATGCGTTATACATTGTTTAAAATTTTATAGCTGCATTAATTAATATATATTTTGAAAGGTTAAAATAAACATGGTAGGTGGTACTATTTGTTTTTAAATTAAAATAATAACGTTAGGAAGTATAGAATTCTTTTTTTTTAAGGAGAAAAAGTTATTTATTTGAAGAGCAATGTTAACTGAGGTGGCATGTAAGTTGTCATTTTTTTATTTATAAATAAATTTTTTTTATCATTGATTGACGTGACAATCATTTAAACATTCACGTGATAGGAAAATTTAGGGCTAAAAGAAAATAGTGACCTTCTCTGGTACGCCAACATATCGGTATGTCACGTTTTCTGTCCGTCATCTGCATAAAATCACATAAAAATTAAAAAGTACGCAGATTTAACGGTTAGATAAACTTAGTCTACTAGTACGTTAGGCGTACCAAAAAATCTCCTAACAAAAATTATTTGGAAGAGCTTTACTCAGATTATTTGTTATTTAATTCATGAAATTTATGTGTCCCAATTGGAGGCTTTTTTTAATTTAGCAATTTGTCTTCTGAGGCCATCGGACTCAAATCCTTGTGGGCTGCTGGTTTAGGGACTGATGGATTGATTTTGTTCTGTAATTTCAAAAGGGAAGGACTTCTTTTAAGGCAACCAGATTCATGCATTATTTGGGCCTTGATGGATCACATACATGCAGAGAAATCCCATTTTGCTTACTTTTGCACTCTTGATCTTAGATGAAAATGATGAAAGAGTTGCCAACACAATAAAGCTAGCTGTTGTACAAATGCTTGAAGCTCTTTAATTGTGCATGTGCCTAACGTTGAGATTTCAATACGGAATAACCTTAGTATTACCTCACTCCTTATAGTACTTTTTCATGATTAGTTGGCTTCTATTCCGATTGTTGTTTCTAGATGTGACGAACTACGAAGTAGTCGTCATTGTAGTTCACTTTAATATATTTATACTTTTTAAAACCTCCGAGAAATTTGCAGAACTTTTTTTTTCTTGAATGCTATAACATTTTGAACATAAATCTTTTTGTCTTAAAATACTATATCATTTTGAACATAAATTTCTTTTGTTTTAAAATGCTATATTATATTGAACATAAGTTGCTTTCTCCCAAAATGCTATATCATAATAACATAAGTTCTTATTTTCCTTTTTAAACATAACAAGATGATTATACTTCAAAAACCATATCCTTTCATAAGGCATGAATTTATACATATGTATATACTTACTCCTTAAATCCTGCTTACTTAAACTTGACAATCATAAAACAAACTTCCAACATACATTGTCAAAGTCTTTCTTAACAAAACTATTTAACACTTTAAACTGTTGCAGAAATAATTGTGTGCGGTATCTATTCCCCGATCTCTACACTGTTCGTCCATTGCCTAGCCAACAGTCCATCAAGTATTTGATGCAGGTTGTTTACCTACAGTATAAATACTATATAATGAGCTTTTGCTTAGCAAGTAGGAACTATTTCTCGCAAAACATTTGTAAGTTCACATGACTATATATGCATGAACTGATTATGCTGACTTATGATGTCTTATCAAAGTTTTACTGTCTGAACTTATCTTACTTACTGATGGGCCTGAGTGCTCATACCATTGCGTGTAATCATCGGGACGTGAGGATTTGCAAGGTCCTCAGCGACACCGTGATTATAAATGAATTGAATGCCTCCCTCACAAAATACTTTTTTTATCTCCCTTGCGGAGTCTAATTACCTCCCTCGCGGAGGTTGGTACGGCACTCAACTGAGTTTCTTCTTATAAGTTCCTCTTGACTTATTAAGGTGTATGCAATATGACATAGGATAGAATACTATAACATAAAATGTACTCAAACACATATAATTCATGTGTACTGTTTATTTTAAAATCTATTTATACTGTGGCGAGATTCCTACTTACTTGGTTTATAAAGTTGGAATCCTCTATTCGCCACACATCATGTTCTCTTTCTTGCTTGTT